TGAAAGATTTCTCTCCCGGCCAGGCAACAGCCCAGCCAGTGAGAAGCCCCCACCCTGAATTGCTACTTTCCCCCAACTGCCTTTAGTTTAGAACAGCTCCTGCACTGCCCCTTTTCTTTATAAAAACAAGTTCCCCTCCTTTGTTTTCCAGATTTGTTTGTGTTTCGCTACAGCATGCACATCAGGAATTGGAATTCTTTGGGCTGTTCCTGAGTAAACATGTTTTGAGGGTGTGGGAAATCAGAATTGGCCACCCCGAAATGTCTCTTTGGCTTGAGTATTTTTCAAGGACAAAAAGACTCTGAAAGAAACTTTGACCTTCCCCCCAACTGCCTAAAAGAATTTAAGATAGAAGGCCTGTTCCAGGAAGGAGCTAATAGTAAGAGGACTGTAGTGTGATTTAAAATGTGTCTCTCAGGTCACATTGTCTATAGTTGGCCCATTTGCATTTCCACCTCCATGTAAACTGACTTCCTCCCCCTTGAAGTCCCAAACCACTACCCACAACATCCTCCGTTGTCGTTAGCTAAAAATGATATTTAAGTTGGTGGCTTTGGCCATTCTGGCAAGTTACTCAGTTTTCCTGGGTTTCTCCCACGTATACATGTTATAAAGCTTTTTTTGTTTTTCTCCTGTTATTCTGTCTCATGTCAATTTAATTCTTAGACAGCCAGAAGGACCTAGAGGGTAGAGGAATTGTCTTCCTCCCTACAAGGGTAAAGTAACTGGCAAATTTGCCTTTTAAATTGACATAAGGAAACATGAACAGCTGTCAAGAAGGAACTCAATTGGGAAGTCAATGACCCAGTGAGGATCTCCCAAATGGAGGGACATTGGAAGCCGTCCAAGATGCCTTACTAAGTCAATGGAGCAAGTTGAAGAACTCCACATAGCAAAATCCCCAGTGGGGTTAAAAGTATTAAACAACAACAAAAAAGAGGGACCAGCCCCATGGCCAAGTAGTTGGGTTCATGCACTCCACTTCAGCGGCCCAGGGTTTCCACGCTTTGGATCCTGGGTGTGGACATGGCATCACTCATGAGGCCACGCTGAGGCCATGTCCCACATAGCACAACTAGAGATACAGATATCTTTGAATGTGCCTTGAAAATTTATGGAATTGTGCCCAAGGAAATGCTTTTAGACAATACCTCTGGGTAGGGACAGGGGAGACATAAATTTTCATTTTACATCCTTCTGGACTATAAGCCTTTTATTATAAACTCCTTCCACCTCCCCTCCCCTTTTATAATGACCTCTTTCCTCCTCCCCTCTCCCCAGGGCTACCCTGCCTCCCACAAGATCCCATGGTACAAGGAGCACAATTAGAAACATTGTATTACACATGGATTGCCTCTGCGGCAAAACTAAGTATGCAAACATATCTTCCTTCATTTTCTAGTAAATTCCGTTAATCCCTATTTCAAGTTTCTATTTGTGCTTAAGGCAAAAAAATAATCTACTGAACACTGGGATTTCTTAGGCATTTCAGGTTTAAAAGGCCCCTCTGCCGTCGCCACGTCTCCTCTGCCCTCCATCCTGCCCTCCAGGGATAAAGGAGGGCAGTTTGCTGTGGACAGTGTGTCTTCCCACTGCTGGGTGTGGCTTGCCTTGGCAGGCCTGCCAGTCACAGGTCCATGCTGCCCTTGGCAGGGGTATCCTGGCATGGACTCCTCAGATGAGCGAGGGTGCAGCAGGGCAGGACCCCACTCAATGGCTCAGGTTAGTCTGTGTCACTGCATGTGGTTGGACCCAAGGCCCCTCTGCTGGCTACAGCCTTTGTCCACTCATTAAAGCTGTCTTATAGGAGGGATGGAAACCTTTCACACAGCTGCAGGGCTGGCTGCATATTTTGTGGGGTCCATTGCAAAATGAAAATTCAGAACCCTTTATGCAAAAAGCAGAGGGAAATAAGCAAAGTTACTAAAATATAAAGCATTTTCTTTTAAAATATTTTATTACTTATAAAAGATAATGAGTGAAAAAGACACGAGGAACAACAAATTTATTTTCAGTGTCTTACTTTATATAATACATGACGCTTTCTCAATATTATATCTAAATAGATCTCAATATTATATCTAAATAAGATCATAATATTATATCTAAATAGATCATATTATATCTAAATAGATCACTTTTATGCAAATTAATTTATTATGTCATTGTGGGGGCCTGGAATTGGCCACCCCAAGATATGTCTCTGTGGCATGATTATTTGAGGCTGGTTACTTTTCAGACAGGAAAGCAACTGAAAAGTAGAATTTACTTACCCTTTGTAAGAGACATTTACATTGTAAAGGAAATCTCCGTCTCTAAAGATATCTCCCTCTCTGTACCAGGAAGAAGGGGAGATGACCTTATCTCTAGAAACTCTTAATTAATGGGGAAGGCAAGGACTTAAATCTGCATTTGTTTATTGTGCTTGTCTGGTAACCTCCTGTAACTGACTCTGCCCACTCCCAACATCCTCCTTTGTCTTTAGCTGGATATGATGGTTGGGGTGGTGGTTTCAGCCATCTTGGTGAGTTGCTCAGCTGCCTGAGCAACTCCCATGTGTACATTGACAAATAGAAATGGCAAGCAATAGGATATATTGGAGTACATGAGGAAGCCATTTGGTATAAACCTAATCCGGCCTGACTTTGCTTTTTTCCAAAAGGGCCTGACTGTGGCCATTGAGCACACACTGTATATCTGCTTTAAACATTTACTATGGCAAGAACAAATGACCTTAAGAGAAAGATGCAAATTGCCCCCCCCCATTGGCATTTCCTTAGGGATAAGCATCTTTCCTTAGGCTAGGAACTGATTGCTGCACTCACCTTTGACCACCCAGCTCACCTGTGACCACCCAGCTCGAGAGAACAGACCTGCCACCCTGCTGTGTTCACCAAGACAGCAGACCTACCTGCTGTTTCCATCAATCGCTGTGCCGACAGAGCAGCCTCGCAACTATTGTAAAAGGGACATTTCAATCCTATGTGAAACATCCTGTTTGGGGGTATATAAGCACTCTGTGCACCCCACTTCTTCAGTGCCCTTTCTTCCTTCGGGAAAGGCCCTGGACCATGGTCCTCAAATTTTAGATAAAGCTTTGTTTAATTTTCTCCTGCTGTTCTGTCTCATGTGAATTTAATTTGTTCTCCAGCCAGACGAACCCAGAGAGAGTAGAGGAAATGTCTTCCTCCCCTACATCATGAAAATGTATACTTTTAACAACTTCTATTGTTAATTGATGTAGTTGAAAGCAATATCAGTTGCTCTTGGCAAATGCAAGATTGCAAATCACGTTAATTTATGACGATGAGAAGGATCTTTTGCTGGTACAAACACCAGTGGAGCCATGAAGAGTGTTTTATAGGCTATGACAACACTGGATGGATTTCTGATAAATTATTTCAAAATGTAAATTTTATTTCAACTAGAGCTGATGATCCTTGTGGAACAATTTTTCTAAAAGGATCTAACTTTTCAAACAAATCAATTTCATGTCATCTGAATTTAATTTTAAATGTAAATTTATACTTTGGCATTTTCACGTTTCCCCCGACATTTCCCATAACTTGCGGAGGTTGTATAAATAACTGAAAGTGGACTCCACATTTGTATATACTTCAAAATGCCTTTTTATTCGTCTTATCACTGTTTCTTCAATTACATGGAATATTAATTTTAAAATTGTCTTCCTCATTAACTATGGCTCCTCTGAAGCTTCATATGAAAAAAGTGTTTTCTGCCCACCGCAATGATCTTTAAATTAAATTTACTATTTCTAAGTTTGTGGATATTTACTTTCTAATGCGGCAGCAGTTTTCGAGCCAGAAATACTAAACTCATGGAAGAATTCTAATATTCTTGAATTCTCCCTGATAGGATTTATGGCAATACCCAGTATCCACTTTCATTTTGCAGGAATTTACTGATTATGTTTGCCTCCTGAGTATCACAGGTCGTGTCCTGGCATTCTGGTTGAACATCTGTATTTGTGCAGATGCCACGGGGACAGTCTCCTGGGACAGACAGACTAGCCAGCCTCCCTCCGCGGGTCCTGGCACACCCCCATGCAGAGGCCCTCCTCTCCTAAGGCTGTAACTGCTGCTGCCTCTGCTGCCACCGTCACTTGGGGCCCTGCTGCCCCTGGAAACATCCCCATCAGCGGAAGTCTCGTGAGCAGCAAGGCTCTGGAGGAACTTGAGGTTTCTGTGAGGAGATAGGGTTGGGGGAGAGGACGGGTGGGTTGTGGGGGCTGCGCACTTTAGCCAAGAGGAGATCTGAGCCACAGCGCTCTGGGATCTGAAAAACCGCTGGGGAGGAGATGACAGCCCCATGGCACCCTGGCTGGTCTCTGGGGACTTGGGCACCAGCCCCTCTTGTGGCATCTCTTCTGGGATCTGTGGATCCCCGAGTTCTGCAAAGCCACACGCCTCCCGAGCCGGGGGTCCGCAGGGTTAACCCAGGCTGCTAAAGGTAGTGCAGGGTCAGAGCAGGGGACAGAAGTAGAGTGCTCAATGCTGAGGGCCTACATCTGCAGACCCCGCAGTGGGTGAGGCCGCCCCTGCCTGCCTCTACAAGGAGCCGACCACGAAGAGTCTGGCGGCAGCAGACAGGGGAGACAGGACAGGAACGGCAGTGGAAGCTGCATGGCAGCAGCTGGTGGGGAGGGGCGAGTGGCCGCTTCTAGGAGCGACACAGGAGGCCATGGAGGGCGGTGCCCGGGGTGGCGGTGGTCGCCGGGGTCGCACTCACCAAGGATCTGCAGCACTTCCCGAGGAGGGGCCTGCAGGGGCCCGGAGGCGGCTCCGGGTCCTGGGCCCGCCCAGCGGGGAAGTTCGTTACAGGCCCCGCCCCGAGGTCCGTGGGCGTCGGCCTTCGCCCCTGTATCTCCTCGTCCCGGTCCCGCCCCTCGTCCCCACTCTTTCTCGGATTCCTGCGGACAGTGACACCGGGACAGCCGGAGACCCCAAGCTGCGGCGACGGCTGAGTCCGGGGCGGTGGGCGAGCGGCCAGGGATGGGGCGTGGTCCCTGGGGGGAGCCAACGCGAGGGGCGGTGCGGGGTCTGAGGGTCGCGAGCGTCCAGCAGGGACCCCCGCTCCCCATCCACTGCGTCCCACCAAGGTCGCCGCTGCCCTCGGTCTTGCTAGGGCCAGCGGGCCGCGGACTGTCAGCCGGTGTGGCGTCCCCTCCCTCAGACCCCCGAATTCGGGACAAGCGGCTTCGGGGGTGGGGCCAAGTTCTGCCCAGAGCTGTCTCTCCCGGGCCGTGGTGAGGGGTGGTCTGGGGCCGGTTCTGCGGCAGGGGGCGCCAGGAGCCTAGAGGATGCTGCGCACCCTGAATTAACCAAGACTTTCTCTGAGAACCAGCTAGAACCCCTGGGGCCTCTCTAGGAAAGCGAATGCCGCAGGTGGGGGTTGGGCTAAGGCGGGACCTCAGTTGGGAGACGCCCCGCACAGCACTGCAGTCCGCCTCAGTGGGTGGAGCCCCCCATAGTGCACACTGGGAAAGCTTCTGATCCCTCAGGACCTCCGGTTCCCCCACCCACTCCCCGCCAGCCAGATGAGGGTGCCCCTGGACCCTGCTTCTCTCTGCACTGCTCCCCGTTAAATTCCCTGGGGAGGAAAAAAAAAACCCAAACGAATTCTCCCCGGAGCAGCAACCTTGAGTCTAGTTAGTGTTTAGGCTTCTCACTGAGAAATCGTTCAACATATTCTTCTGGGCCAGCGTAGATGGAGGGAGAGGAGTCTAGGGTTTGGACAGGTGGGATTGCGGGAGAGCGGTGAGCAGGGGACGGCGGGGTAGGGGTGGGGTGAGAGTGGTAGTGGAGGTGCACTCCACCTTTGGTTGAGGCCCCCTCTACACAGTTTGTTGGCTTCCTTTCTCAGAGCACCAAGGCAGGGGCGAGGGGCGAGGGAGGAGGGGCGGGTATTGAACCCATCTGGCTCAGAACCCCTGGAAGGGAGACAGATTGTGCCTGTCTTGATGCCTCTGGACCCGCGCCCTATTGCTGGGTTCTCTGAGGCCCGGACCCTGACTGCTGATGTGTGTCACCCCCATGCCCACCCCAGGCATGTCCTCTTCTGTGAAGGTGCTGGGTCAGGCCAGACCCTCAGACTCCTGCAAGCTGGCTGATGGTCCCCTGAGGCTGTGCAGAGGAGGCTGACCATCCTGGACTGGCTGCTGGACTCTTCTGTGCAGTGGCTGAAGATGAACTTCATTGCTGGGCTCTCGGTCAGGCTCAAGGTCATCCCCCAGGTGCTGGCCTGTGCTGAGGTGGCCTGACTCCCGCCCCAGGTGAGATGTCTGCCCCTGCTGCTGGCTGCATCCCTCCCCAGGCCCTGACTCCACTGCGGGCCTCAGTACCCACCCAGAAGCAGAGTAGAAATGTGCAATATCCCCTCTAGACAAGTGGGGCGCCCAGGGATCCAGCCCCATGGGAGCCAAGGAGCCTTGGTTTACACTCTCGAGCATGTGACTACCTTTGGGTGGACACACAAATCTGTCACTACTCTTGTCATACTTGTCACACACAGGCATTGAGCTAGTTGTGGATTGTGTGATGGAGCCAGCAAGACAACTCACCATAGCCCTGAGAACACTTTCTCAGACTCGCACATCAGAACACAGTCTTTTGTTCTCCCGAAGGTAGCACCCGAGGCCCCAGTTGGGTGTGGGTAGAAAAGAGGTCCCCTGATCCCTGCAGGTCAGACTCATGGATAATAGAGGGTGAGCAGTTACCCTGCCTGTGTGCGCTGTTGTGCCCAAAGTATACAATGGACACCACAGACCCCTGTGCTCAACATCGACACTAAGGGTGCTGCCTGCCTCCTGGGTGCTCATGCCTCTCTCCCCAACAGTACAGCCTCTACTCTGCCTTCATGGGTGCTTCCTGTAGTTTGTCCTGGACATCTCCTGGGATGTGACTCTGGGCCCCACAGCTGTCATGTCCCTCCTGGTCTCCTGATACACCTTTCCTGAGCCCGCCTGTGCTGTGCTGCTGGCCTGCTTATGGGGCTGCGTGCAGTGAGCCCTGGGGCTCCTGCTCTTGGGTAAGACTCTCGGGCCTTCCTGCCATGGTGGGGGCTGGAGTTCTGCTCTTCCTGGGGTCCCAAGGCACTTGCCTCTTGGGGATGTCCCTGATGTCAGCATTTCCTTCTTTGCATTCCAAGGGCTGTCCCTGTGTGTGTGTGTGGGGGGGGGGGGGCCCTCATGCCTACCCTATTCTCCTGAGAGGCCAGGACACTTGGAGAAGTGCTCATGGCCTCAGGCCCTAGCCTCCATTTCCTGCTTCCCAAACCAGCCCAAGCAGGGTGTGTGATCCACCAGTCTTTAGCCCTAATTCTACCCATACCACTCTCCCAGCCCACGTCCACCCATGTCCTCTGGGATGAGGCAAAGCTGTGACCACCTCGGCATTCCCCTTGGCCGGCCAGGGTTCCTGCTGGACTTCATCTCCTGCCCCATCAGTCATTAAAGGTTTCACCTCTGCTGCTCCCATCACCATGGGCTTCAGGCAGATCCAGGTAGGCTCGCTAGTTGGCACCAGGGCACCTGCCGTGTAGCGGGACTAAGACTGGGTCCTGATATGTGCCGGTCAGTCGATGTCTTGCTGTTCCGCAGCTCGAAGCACGCAGTGCTCGAATGGTCTCCATTAATAAAATGACCTCTCGGGGGAGTTGATGGGTGAGGGGCAGATTGTACAACAGGTAATTTGAGGGACCAGTAATGACAGCCCCTGCTTTTGTTGTAGTTTTCCCGCCACTGCGCTTGGTTCCCTCACACAATGGTTCTGTTCTGCTGCCTCTACTACGCACTCAGCGGCAGCCTTCACAGCTCATGAGCATCCTGCCAAAACTTTGACAAACAAGTGATTGTCCTGTACTCATTTAGCTAGATGATTTCATTTTTATGTTTTTTCCAATTTCTGTCGAATATATTTCAGATACCATGCTTCTTTATGTTTCTATTTAAAAATTTTGTTTTTCCTTTTTCTTCCCAAAGCCGCCAGTACATAGTTGTGTATTTTTAGTTGTGGGTCCTTCTAGTTTAGAGTGGCATGTGGGACGCCGCCTCAGTGTGGCCTGATGAGTAGTGCCATGTCCACACCCAGGATCCAAACCAGCGAAACCCTGGGCCACTGAAGCAGAGCGCGAGAACTTAACCACTGGGCCACAGGGCCGGCCCCTATGTTTCTGTTTAAACCTGTATAAGGAGTACTACATCAATGATCATTGCTTATCTGAGGACGTCATTTAATCTCCTTCCCCTGGGTTTCACGTTCCTGGGGGCCAGGAGCTGTCTTGCTCCCCATCATGCCCGCCCAGCGCTGTGCTTGCTATGAAGCAGGTCAGTGCTCAGGTGGGTGGGCAGAAAGGACCCGAGCTGCATTGGACAAATGAAGCCGTGGGGCCTCTGGTGGCAGATGCCTGGGCACAGCCCTACCTCATGACCTGGTGTCCGCACCTGGGCCTCTCCAAGGTGTGGTTCCCACGTCCAGGCTCTGCTCCAGGCTGGCCTGTGACAGTCTTCCCTGATGGAGGGCAGTGACCAGATCAAAGCAGGAGGAGACGTGTGTGTGAGAATCAAGTAGCTGACACGTCTTCCCTCTCACTCTGTGCTGGGACTGGATTCACACTTTCTCTGTGTTCATATCTCACCACACCCCTGGCAGGGAGGTTTTGCATCATCATTTCCATTTAGAGAGGAGGAAACCCCTTGGACATGTGTGGGTGAATGCAATTTATATATTTTGTATTCACAGATGTCAGGGCCAACTTGGCAAATGCTGTTTCGTGGGATGGTTTGTCCTTTATTCTGGAAACAACATCTTTCCTTTTTAGTGTCGAGAATGTTCCTTGATAAGATCATAATGTTCATAGAGGGTCCTTTCTTTATGCGTTCATACTTGGTGACCGTAGGCCCCCAAAGTCATTAAAACCTTGACTAGGTCATGACAGCCACCTCAGAGCCCCTAGACTGGGGTGGGGTCCTCCTCATCTGCCCAGGACAGAAGTGGAGGAGGTGGTGGTTGGAAGTGTCACCTGGCTAAGTAGCTGGGACTTCTGTGGCACCAGCACCTCGGCCACCTTGGTCCTGGTGAGCAGCGTGTGCACCTAGGGGAGTGTATTGTGGTTGGTGAAGGTCACGTAAACTGAAGGGGACAGGGGAAGATTGGTATCAAGAACAGGTACACACCTTTTTGACAAATCCGGAATATCTTTGTGTTTGATCACTCGTGAAAGGTACCTTAAAGCCTGATGAATTTTAATAGACACATACCCTGAAATATTACTGCAAAAATACTGAATTTTTCACGATCCTTCTTACTTTGCCTGTTGGTTGCGCTGATCCACATTTATGTCTGTTATCTGATTCATAGTGTGGGATTAGACTCAGGGTCAACAGCAGCCTTTTAAAAACACTGTCGGATTCTTTTCAGTTTTATTCTTAAGGCATCTGTCACTTCTGGAATCCACTCCAATGACAAGGAGGAGAGTCATTCCAGTGCTGGTGAAACAGAACCCTCAGAAGTTTTTAGTTTTAAAACTGGGAATCTGGAAGATTCATTCTTCGTGATGGCAAATATTTATTTATTAATACTTTGGTTTTTCACCAACTGATGCTTTTGAAGGAGATATCGTTAATTGGGCTATTTGACTTTGACGTCGTCTTTGGGGGTGGAGCAGTAATAAATGTGGGTCCACTTTCGTACTCAGGGTGCAGATCCATGTGATCTAAATTCTTACACTTCTTTTCTGTTTGATGACTTCCCTGTGCTCCCCTCTCCCCCAGTTTTTCCTTGAAACTCTACTTTCATTTCTTTTGGGTGTATACCTAGGAGTGGAATTGCTGGGTCATATGGAAACTCTCTATTTCACTATTTGAATACCTGCAAGACTTTTTCCCAAAGTGACTGCACCATTTCACATTCCTGCCAGCCGTGTCTGAGGGTTCCAGTTTCTCCACATCCTCACCAATACTTATCATCGGTCTTTTTTTTTTTTTTTGAGGAAGATTAGCCCTGAGCTAACATCTGCCACCAATCCTCCTCTTCTTGCTGAGGAAGACTGGCCCTGAGCTAACATCCATCCCCATCTTCCTATACTTTATATGTGGGATGTCTACCACAGCACGGCTCGTCAAGTGGTGCCACGTCCACACCCGGGATCCGAACTGGTGAACCTCTGGTGACCAAAGCGGACCGTGTGAACTTAACCTGTGTGCCACTGGGCTGGCCCCTCAGCGGTCTTTTGATTTTAGCCATCCTATGAGTGTGAAATGATATCTCACTGTGTGTTTTTTTTTTTTTTAAGAAGAAGATGAGCTCTGAGCAAACTACTGCCAATCCTCCTCTTTTTGCTGAGGAAGACTGGCCCAGAGCTACATCCCTGCTCATCTTCCTCTACTTTATACGTGGGATGCCTACCACAGCATGGCTTTTGCCAAGTGGTGCCATGTCTGCACCCAGGATCTGAACCTGTGAACCCTGGGCCGCTGGGAAGCAGAACATGTGCACTTAACCGCTGTACCACCAGGCTGTCCCCTCACTGCAGTTTTGATTTGTAATTCTCTGATGGCTCATGATGTTGGCCATTTTTTCATGTGCTTAATGGCCATCTGCATGTCTTCTTTGGAGAAATGACTGTTCAACTCATTGACCCATTTTTTAATTGGATTATTTGTCTTTTTATAACTGAGCTGTCATAGTTCTTTATATATTCTAGATGTTTCTTATCAGATATATAGGTTGCAATTTTTTCTCTATATTGTGGATTGTCTTTTCATGACGTTCTTAATGGTGTCCTTTGAATCCCCAAAGTTTTGCATTTTAATGATGTCTATGCATAATAGAATCTTACTATTGGAAATGATTTAAACATTAAATCATATCCTCATCAATATTTTGGTTGTATAAATTAAAATCCAACATGAAAGGGTCAGGTAAAGATTTCAATCAGTTCATTTCAAGATTTGCTATAGATCCAAACGACCACATCAGGGAAGATATCATTCCCCTGGTCAGATATTTCTTAATTATCCTCTTAGTGGGATGGAATCAGTAATCATAGCCCCTCTCTCATATCTGATATTAGTAATTTGTGTTTCTTTCTTTTTTCCTTAGCCTGATTAGAGATTTATCCATTTAAAAAAAATCTTTTTAAATAACTAGTTTTGGTTATATTGATTTCTCATTTTCAATGTCATTAATTTCTGCTGTAAATTTTATTATTTCCTTTCTTCTGTTTGCTTTAGGCTTACTGTTTACTTTAGGCTTCTGTTTGCTTTAGTTTAAATTATTGTTTCAGATCTTTCTATTTTCTAATCTGTGCATTCAGTGCTGTAAATTTCCCTCTACTTCTTTCATTTCATTCCGCACATTTTGATAAGTTGTGTATTCATTTTCATTTAGTGGAAAATAGTTGAAATATTTCTTGAGACTCCTTTTTTTATCCATGTGTTGTTTAATCTCCAAATCCTTTGGGATTTTCCAGCTATTTTTCTGCTCTTGTTTTCTCCTTTAACGTTCTTTGTGGTCTGAGAACATACTTTGTATGGTTTCTGTTTTAAATTTGTTGAGGTGTGGGGATTTTTTCACCCAAATTGTGGTCCAAATTCTGCTTTTGTTGGATGCGATATTTTATAAATGTTATTTAGATCCAGTTGATGGATGACACTCTTCAGTTCATCCTTACTGAGTTTCTGCCTGCTGCATCTGTCAGTTACTGAAAGAGCAGTGTTCAGTGCTGGAGCAGTGGATTTGTCCATTTCTGTATCTATCCACTATGATAATGGATTTGTCTATTTCTATATCTGTCCGCTGTGATATTAGATTTGTCTATTTCTATATCTATCCACTAATAGTGGATTTGTCTATTTCTCCTTGCAGTTTTATCAGGTTTTGCCTCACATGTTTTGACGTTCTGTTGTTAGATGATGTATGTTAAGGATTGTTATATCTTCTTGGAGAATTGACCCCTTTAACATTATGGGATGTCTTTCTAGCCCTTAGAATTTTCCTTGTTCTGATGTCTGCTTTGTCTGAAATTAATATAGCTATTCTAGCTTTCTTTGGATTTGTGTTAGCCTGCCTTATCTTATTCTGTCCCTTTACTTCTAACCTATCTGTGTCTTTATTATTAAAGTGGATTTCTTATAGACAGCATATAGTTGGGTCTTATTTTTAATCCATTCTTAGGGTCTCTGTGTCATATTTAGACCATTCCTATTTAAAGGACTCCTGATATAGATGGATTAATATCCACCATATTTGTAACTGTTTTCTGTCCATTGCTCTTGTGCTTTTTTTCTATTGCCTTCTCTCTTTTGTTTTTTTTTAAAGATTGGCACCTGAGCTAACAACTGTTGCCAATCTTCTCTTTTTTTTTTTTCTGCTTTTTCTCCCCCAATCCCCCCAGTACATAGTTGTGTGTGTATATATATATTTTTAATTGTGAGTCCTTCTAGTTGTGGCATGTGGGACGCCACCTCAGTGTGGCCTGACTAGCGGTGCCATGTCCACGCC